GCTTGAGGGGCTCCGAGCAGGGCGCCAGGGTGTAGGGCGCTGCGGGACGCGGTGGCCCGAGTCCTGTCACAGGGCCTGGGCCCCTCCTGAGCACCTTTCTGGTTCCCACTGAGTAAACCTCCCCCTTTCTCCCCAAGGGGTGCAAAACACTTTTTGTTAGCTGGATTTGTGAACTCGGGACTTTACCTCTCCTTATCGTTCTCCTTGCTGCTTGCTCTCTGAAGGCTGATGGGGATTTTCCAGGTGGTCTCCAGGCTCGAAAGGTGGCTGTGCCTCGGGGAAGGTAGGTAAGATCCAAGAAAGGGTTTCTCTGCCGTTTCCCAGCTGGAGCTCCTCTTCTGCTGATCGCTGGGGAAGGAGAAAGGGCAAAAGCTTTCTGATTTCTCCACTCAGCAAAACCCAACGGTAGGGCAGCGGTGGAATGTGTTGAGGTGACTTGCCTTCCTACAGTCTGCCTTTCAGGTGTGATAATTGGGTCAATATGAGCAGATGGACAATTAAATGGAGGAGACACAGGGGTGGCATCGCGGAAGATGGGAAGCAAAGGACAGCTGGTGTGGAGCAGGGAGATGGCAAAGTTAAAAGCTGGGAAGCAAAGGACAGCTGGTGTGGAGCAGGGAGATGGCAAATCTAGGGTTAGCACGAGCAGAGTTCAGGAGGCCGTTGCTGCACGGCGTCACGTGGCTACGCTCCTGCCTCTGTAGGGCAAGCACAGGCATTTTTACAGAGCTAACATGCAGTTTAAATGATTAGCCCATGGACAACTGACAGCCTGAATGTGTTTTCATTCACTGAAATCATTGACGTGTTGTAACTCCTAAAAGCAAGCTGTCGAGTTGCTCGCTGATGTGCTTGTTCGTGGGCTGCTTGCAGCAACAGGTGAGTTTCAACTGTAGCCATCTGAACAGCATCTTTTTGCTGAAACAAACATGTTAATAACGTAGTGGCAACGCTTTGGTGTCTGCTAGGAAAAAAGCTAGCACGGAAGTTTGCAAATTATTTTAAACTAGGTGCGTGTTGTGCTTTTTCTTACCGTAAATTTAATCTTACAGTTAGTTGTTGGTATGTGTGGGGAGTCCAGAAACTTGAACGTGAAGTCGGTTCAGTTCTTATCAAACAGTCATCCTCTGACAGACAGGCAGACGTGTAAGGAGGGCAGTGCTGCCAAGTGGGAAAGTACTGGAAGAGATGGGTGACCTCACTAACATTTGGCCAGATCTTGCTGTTGTCAAGGGAAGAGCATTCGATGTGCAGCTGACCAGCACTACAGAATCCTTTTTTTGCACCCACTAAAATAGTCTTTGAGTATGTTCCAAGTATTTTCTATAACTCTTTCTTCTCCTGTAAGTAGCCCTCCCCTGCCCAAGAGGCAGAGTCAACTAATGCTCAAGATTATTAATGGAGAGCCCAGGGGGATGGGTGTCTTCAGGGCTGCACCACGTGGCCTCCCTTTTCCAGCTGCGGCTGGTTTACCTGGAAAGGCCACTGCCCTCAGCTTATCCGCAGGTATTTGTTGCCATCCCTTCCCAGTGATCTTCATTTAAATCAGTTGTGGTCAAAATGAGCTGGATTAGATGTGCAGGACAACAGTGTGGCCACGACCGCGTTTGTATTAGGCGGCAGCATGCCCGCTGCTGCTAAGAGCTGCCTTATGCTGGCTGCGTTAAAGGGAGAACCGAATGTCCCCGCCATTCACTCTGCTGCTAAATGCACGTCTGAAATACATTAAGTGCTCTAGTTAAGTAAGTTGCCGTACCTTTCTTAGCACTGTATCTTAGCGGGTAGCAGTACGCAAAAAGGACATGTTAAACCTGTGCCTTTATCTTTCATGGTCGCTAACAATACCCACTGCTTCTGTCATTTAGGCACTTTGGCTTGTGAAGGTTTTGCCAGCTTGTGCCAGCAGCTTTAACAGTAATTCAAATGATTTGCCCTGTATCTCTCGGAGCATTCTGTAGGATTATAGTTCTCTAGCAGGGACACCTAGTGGTAAAATATCTTTTACTTAAAAATGTATTGTTTGAGTCTTTTTTTTCTCTGAGCTTGCTACCTAATGACGTTATTTAAGCTGTAAATTTCTGATGTTGCCATTAGAAAGCATCTATTTATTTTTCACTGACAAGTGAAACTCTTCTCGAATCATGGCATAGAATGCTTTCTTGTGATTTTTTTTTTTTTTTTTGGTAAAATAAATACATTTATGTACAAGCCCTTAATTCATCTTTCTTCTTATCACTGTTCCTTAGTAGAAGAACAAGGTCTTTACCTGGAATAAAGAACAGGTGCCATGTAACACAGAGAAAAAGACACTGATTTGCATTAACTGGTCAGAGGGTCGCTAGTCTAATACGTCGATACCTTTGCCATCAGAGAGTTGTGTAAAGAAGGTGGATAAGGAATTTTACAAGTTTGTGATTCCATGGAGGCTGTTTGCAGAGTCGTTCTTGGGTACTTCGGGCTCAACAGGATGACTGCAGAGATTGAAAGGAGTCTGCCTCTCCTGCTCTGCTCCCAAGGATGCTGGAGTATAATGGACCAGATTCTTCATGTTTTGTCACCTTTCAGAAAAGCAGCAGATGCAATTTTTTAATGCCACATCACAGCAGAATAGTGAAACACATCAATGAGCATCTGTTTCGTAGTGTGAGCTAGTAGCATAGTCCTTTGGTTTAACTGTGGGGATGCAGACAACTGTCACGTGGGTTTTCTGTTCCCTGCAGATGGAATTTTAATGCGACAACTTCAGAAGTCATGGAGAAAGACAGACATTCAGTAACCTTGGGTGGAGGCAGAAAATGGCAAGTAGGATATTTAAAACCAAGCAGATAATACAGCTTGCTTGTGTGGAGCCTGAACTTGTACCTAGATACAAATCTGTCTTCAGGCAGTCACTCAGTAGGGAGATTGGAAGGGGGAATGGCCTGAACGATAACACGAGGTCACGTGCCAAAACAACAGCAGGGTTGATTGCCAGTTACATAGGTTTATCATATGTTGTATCGGGAAAAGGGTAAGTTGTGCCTCACCAACCTAATTGCCTTCCACATTAGAATGACTGGATATGTTGACAAGGGGAGAGCAGTGGACGTCAATTCAACTTTAGCAAGGCTTTTGACGCTGTCTTTTTCAATATTTTGTATCCAGGTTGGAACATTTGGATGGGTGGATACCAAAATGGTTAAAAAGCTGGTTGCATGGTTGGGTCGAGAAGGTGATGGTCAATAGGTCATGCTCTACTTTGAGGCTGGTATCGAGTAGGGTAATGCAGGGTTCTAGGCTGGGACCCATCCTGTTTAACATTTTTTTCAATGACCTGGAAGGGGCAATGGACTGCTTGCTCATAAAGTTTGCAGATGAGACTAAATTAGCCAGATCATTCAGAGAGACCCAAACTGGCTGGAGAAATGGGTCCCAGAAATAGGGGCCCAGCGACATCCAGCAGGGCGGAAGGTCTGTGCTCAGAGCTGACCCTGCTTTGCACAGGAGGTTGGACAAATGACTGTCAGAGTTCTTCCAACCCAAATTATTCTATAATTATATGGTTTTTTACCTCTGTGTGTGTGTATATGTATATATACGTATGTATTCTGAGCAATGAAGAATTAGTTGTTTTGCAAAGTACGTTCTTTGATTCTAAAAAAAAAAATAAATCTATCCGTGTTGCTCAGCCCCTCTAGTTGAAGGGCCAGAAATACATTCATTATGTTTCAATTGATATTTTTAATTATAGTTGGTATTTCTGAGCCATTTACATGTGAGAGCTAGCCTGTTGGTAAGTGGCATTTAGATAATGAAGTGTTGCATCCCTTTTCAAGACGGCATAATTCTGTTCTAATATATTAATAGCTGGTTTTAGCCTGTACCGTGGCTCTGTTTCTTCGCTGTTCCTTTCTAACACCTTTTGAATCTGCTGGATAATTTTAATCAAATTTGAAGGATAGATAAATGTCTCAGAAATAAGTAAGTCACTGGGTGGAGTGACCAAATTAGTCCCTCTCTTGAGGGAAAGGCAGTCACAGCTCAGCAATTACATGACTTTTCATCACATCTTTTCTTTGGGGCTTTATGCAAGTAACAATGCCCTGGTTTACTCCATGGTGATAAGGATATCTCCTTGTCTCCATGTCCTGTCCATAGCAGGACAGCTGGGTTATTGGGGTGAGTAGAGGTCTCTGAGCCAGGCAAGATGAGAGGGAACAGCAGAGGACTTGGACCTGCAGGAAACCAAGCTCTTGTTCTGCATCTCTCTTTCTGAGGAAAGGCTTGTCAGCGATTTCCAAACTGCTTTGGAGGATACTGTGATCCATTTCACGTGGTCCATGGCCAACGTGGTGTGATTGCACTAACGTCGGATGGTAGTAGAGCTGATTCAGGGCTCATGCCTTGGTGTCCCGCTTTGAGTATCTGAACGCTGATGACTTGGAGACTGAAATTCTCTCATAGAAGGAGGACCCATCTGAAATAAAATAGGTCCATAGCAAGAGTCACTATGGAAAAGTAACTACAGCTTCTGTCTTGAAGAAACTGAAAAACCCCCAAACCTCTGAACATCTTACATGGTAGGTTAATCCTAACAAGACCTGATCCTGAAGCCTTTTCTCTCTCTTCAGTGCCTGTGCTCAGCTATGCGTGGCCAGCTGGGGTCAGCCTGTGTCCAGCGGAATACCTCATTTCTCCACTAAAGGTTCAGGACAGTTTCACTCGCTTTTCCAGAAATAACAGCTTTCATCACTTCCCTTACCCATGTTATGTGTTCATGGTAAGAACAGGAGCACACATGCCGTTTCTGGCACAGGGGAGGAAATAACCAGTTGGGGGGGGGCAGCTTCTTTTGGGGACAGTGCTACCTTAAAATGCTTGTGAAACTACAGCCTCAGGCATTCTTGAGCTTTCTGTTTCACCATCTGAAGGGATGCCATCGACACTTTTTTTTTTTTTTTTAAAGCTTCTGAAAAGCTTAGTCTGTTTTATGAGAAATGTGTTAGGTATCTTAGATATTTATGTAATTATACTAATGAAGTAGTTTTATTTATTGTTTTCTGAGGAAATGCTTGGTATTTTTGGATTCACGTTCTTCAAAGAGAGGAGATGAATTTCCTGTTAAGATTTTTAATATGATTTTTTCAAATGTCTTCAGAGGAAAAAGTAAACTTGAAGAGTGATTACAGAATATTGGCTAATTAGCTATAGTGTAACTGCTTTAATTACTTTTATCCCTGAAGCCACATGACTGTGCAGATGACTAGCAGATGACTTATTTTAAAAAAAAAAAAGGAAGAAAAAAAAAAAAGACGTGTTCACACTGCAAGGTTAATGAGCCTAATTATATATAGTTTTCCTTAGCCAGATACTAAATCATAAAGCTTGGGGGAGGGGGAGAATCCAAAGCCAGTCAGTTCTATTTCAAATAATGGTTTTATTCTGATTTTTAATGGGGGAAAAAAAAAAAGCTGTTATTGTAAGTGATTTTTCTGAATAGAGACACTTACATTTAAAGATTTGGTGAGACCTGACACGGCAAACTTTGAAAGTCTATTTAGAGACAATTACACTGAGACATATTTGTTTTCACTTGCCCACTGCTTTAATTAATGGAGAAGTGGGCTTGAATAAAAGGTCTGTGTTAGATAGAAGTCTCCATCTGCTGCTGTGTATCACCAGAACCTTTGTCCTTCCTCACCGTGCATTTTTTTATTGCACCATTTTATTTCCTTTAGTAAGCTGCATAATGCTTCACACTGAGTTGTATAGACAAGGTGGAGTTCTGATTTATTTATAATTATTTTAAATTTTCTTTCAAGTTTTCTGCCTTTGCTGTGCACAGTATTTTAATATCCTACATTCAGAAATATACTTGGAGATCCAAATTCTGTGGTCTTTCAAGGGAACTTGTGTCTCAGGCACAAAAATTAGGTATTGCACTTTACTGAGTTGCCATGCGTCAGCTACCTTCATGACTAGTATGGAGTTACTAATAACAGAAGGTAAAATGTGTTACGCAGTGGAAAGGGCTTAAGCCAATTAATTTCATCGTATTTGCAAAGAACTAAAAACATGCAATCAGCTATTGCTGGTCAGCTGATATATGGTAACAGGTGACTTTGGGCAAAGATGAGTTAGCGGAAGTAGTAGCTTCTTTTTCCACTTCCGCTATTCTTCCTCCTCTTTTCTCCCATTAATTGTGAATTTCTTAAACATTGCTTCCCCAACCCCCCCCTCCTCCCCGCAAAGGGTATTACACTTGACTATTTCTTTTCAGCTAATCTAGTGTGCAGCGCTCCATTCCCTGCAGAGATTACTCAGACCTAGAGAAGCTATGAGAAGCTCTGCTCAGAAGTCAGGTAGGGGCAGATAGAATAACAGTATGTTTCTACCAAAGTCCAGCACAAGATGAATCAGATTGAATCTGCTCCAAATAATAAGTAATGAAGGGTTAACCTACTCATGGGGGAAATCTTGGTTCTTTCACTTAAATTCAGGTTTATGCCCCAAGAACCAGGAAGACGAAAATTTTCCATGTTTAACAAACTGGATGCTGTCTCCATAGTCTTCCTAGCTCTTCTATAGAAGGCAGTTGTTTTTATAAATTATTTAGTTGGATTTCTTAGTCGTTTTTCCTAATGTAGAAAGAATAGGTTAGGGTAGAGTAATTGAAGCTTCTGGATCTGTATTAGGGAGCAAGAAGCTGAGTACCTCATCTAAACTGCTTGCTTTGATTTTACCACATTTTCCAAAGGGACCGGAAGGTCACCATGCACCCACTAGGTTTCAAAAGTTACCTTGATAAATTGGATTATGATTAAACGATTCCACCTGAGCACTTGGCATGTAGTAGGAGAATCACAACACAGAGTTTGTGTTTCCTTCATTTATTTATGTATTTATCGTTGTTTTCCTCCTCCGTGGACTTTGTCAAATACTGCCTATAATGCCCCCATGGGAAGTGGTGTATGCTCTCTGCTGATCACATAGCAGCCTCAACCTTAAAGCAGCTGTGGAGGTTGTAGAGGTTTCACTAGCTTGTATTTCAGCTGTCTGTGTTTATATGCTTTGCATTTATTGATATTCAAAAAGAAGGAAAGTTCTAGCCATGGGTTTTGTAGCAGTAGCTACACCTGCTTTCCACGTGTCAGTTGAGCTTCTTGCTTTTGGGGCAGAATGAATAAGCTTTGAAAGTGGAGAGAAGTATTGAGGGTTCGTTGATCGACTCATTTGCAACTTTGCAGGCTCCTCCTTCTTCGCCATCCAGCGAGACTGATGCTAAAGTCTTAAAGGAATCCTTAAATTCCTTAGGATTCCTTTGAAATTACTTCTTTGGTTTAACTTTTTGTGCTTTCGGCCAACATTTTGACCTTGCAGGTACTGCTCATTTAATTACTTGTGTGTGGTAATAGGAAAGTGATAGCAGGGTGGCTTACTGTGCTCAGAACAAGGCTTTGTTTAGCTGCGTTTCATGCCTTTGTCCTGCATTTTCACTGAGTCTTCTTTACCCTAAATTGGTTTCTCCAGAGCTTTTCATAAGTCTAATTAGGAAAACAAGTTTGTATTTACATATACGTTAGCTAGTATATTAGTTATGCACTTTTTTTGGCTATTAAAACTATAAAGTAGAAAGAAAAAAATTGAGGATGAGATTTCTGTACAAAATCAGTGATTTTGGCTATTGGCTCTTTTTTAAGTTTTAAACCTTTTTTAATCAATGTGCTCAAGCGAAATGCAAGTTTAATACAGTAGTGAAGAAGACTTAAGAGATGTGTTGCTCTTAATAATTAAGTCACCCAGAATTATTATCTCTTAGTATCTGAGCCCATGTCCATACACTGACCTTAACTCATGATGGTATTTGATGATTGATGGTGGTGATTTGCTGGTCATTAGTGGTTAATGATTGTTGATGTTTTCTTCAGAGTATTTTCATGGATTGCTTGTATGATTAGTACTTACAAGAATTATTTATGTTTTGGGATATGAGAGATTTTAAAGGTGATCTGATTTCTTTTTCCTATGTACTTCTGTGAGCAGTTTGTGTTTATTAACATTCAAAATTACACTTCTGTTTTATCATGCTAAGCAGAAATGTCAAGATTCAAGGGCCTGAGCCCTCAGTTCTCTGTTATCAGGTAGTTACCATTCGTTAAGCAGTGTCCAATTTTTGGTGCTTCTGATTTTAGACAGTTACATTATTTTAGTAGATCTTGGGTATCTGCTTCTCTTTGGGTCTGGTTATTTTTTATGTATAGTGAAACTCACTGAAATTGTGAGCCAGGCTGTCTGCAGTGGGCATCTGAAGGAATTCACATGCTGAAGCTGTTGCCCTGAGTCCTCCAGGGTGCTTGGCAAAGGTGAGCGCTTCTCAGGCTGGTATGCATCTCAGCAGCTTCCAGGCAGATGTGTTGCCCAGGAATGTAGTGCTCGCAAATTCAGTAAAAGTGGCTTTAGACAATAACAACTCAAATGCTTTCTTATGCAATGGTCTGTCCAGAGGTTTTGGTGACTGTGTGGGGTACAGTTCCTCTAAACAAAGGTTCACACACACAAAAAATGCTGTTGTATCTTGGGTGCCAGCAGATAAGCAAAGGACTAAATAAATGTTACCTTATTCTGGAATCAAGCAAAAGGCTGTTCTGTGGGGTTTTGAATATGCTACAAGTATAATAAACTTCATAGTCCAGGACTGGCAACATAGTGTCTCTCAGCAGCAGCCAGTTAATTTGGTTGTAATGGCAAACAAAACATGCTGTGTGAAACATCCAGTTCACAGATCATACCCTAACAGAAGTTAATGTTGGTATGATATCTTGGACCGGTGATAAATATGCAAGCCCTTAAAAGGACATAAAAGCACAGCGTGCTCTTCAGAGGTCCCAAACCAAGCTACAATTTTCTTCTGAAGTTGCACACAGTATATTAAAAGAGCACAGCAAAAGGTGAGATTTTCTTCTTTTTTTCCCACCCCAGAACTTGGCTGGATCTCAAAAGTGCACGTGAATCGACCTGCAGTTGTGAGGCATGCAGAACGAATTAAAAGATGGAGAACTGTGAAAGGTAATTGGCAAGTAAGTGCTCTTTTTATGCATTCTGTTCCTGTATTTTTAAAGCAGTCACTCTCCCTCTCCAGGCTGCAATATTGAATTTTTTTCAAGATGCATGTAAACTTAAAAGATGTGCTTGTCCATGTCTTATTTTAATAATTTTTATTTGATGATGATGGGAAGGAATAAGGTGATGCATTTATCCAAACGAGTTAAAAACCTTATAACTCATGAGTGGCAAAACTGCAAATGAATTTAAGTCATCTTTATTCATGAGTGGACTAAATTGTATATTACTATCCCACCACATTTATTCTGTTCCCAGACAGACTTTTCTGCACGCTGCCTTCTTATTTTTTAATTTTAAAGCTGTAAGATATGATCATGGTCCCTGTCAAGTTTGACCTACCTGGATGATTTTTCTTTACTTAAACATCCCCAACACGTGTGATTTCTTTATTTAACTAGTTCTTGCCTAAAACTCAAAAATTCTGACTGGCTATGGCACTTGGGGAAGAAAGCGGGGGGGGAGGAGGGGCGGGAAGGCAAAAAAAAGGCTACTAATCTTAAGGGGGCTGACTTCTCAACTCCTGAGATAAGGTAAATGATCAGTTATTATCCGCGTTAGTATAAAATAGGTTCATGTAAGCCATTGCTAAAGCCGGTGGTGCAAATGAACTTTTCTGCAGGGCTATCTTGTATTCATTGAACACACGCGTGTCATGTCTTTGCAGTGACTGTCAGCCTCTGCTATTTACTGCCCACCTGGCAGGACTGGCAGATACTGGCCCAGTGTGCATTTCGGTTTCTCCAGTTTGTACATGAGAATCGTAACGCAAAGCCATCAGGTCAGCAGCGTAAGCTAACACGTTCTGCAAAGCCGAGCAGGTGAGGCACGGCCATGTGCTGGTTTCTGGACAGGAAAGGCCAAGAGGGGAATGGGCAGGCAGGGCTGGTTGCAGGATACTGTAAGTGCTTTGGCAGCGTTTAGCCAAGGGCAAGGTCTGAGAAATGCTGTGGAGCAGACCCAGAGCTTCCAGTGAGCTCTCAGCCGTGGGGTTGTACCCAGTGTCCAAAGGACAAGTTGATTCTGTGTTCACTGAACAGCTGTTCAAGCAAATGTGTGTGATTCCTCCCCTCTGCAAGCGAGACAAATCATTTGCTTGCAACACTAAATGTTAACCTGGAAGCAGGAGGAAGGAGGCACTCAAGGATCAATCTTAACAGTCCAGCGTAGCAGAACAAAGCAAGAATAATTTAATTATACTTAATGCTTAAAAGAACTGTTCAAAATAGTTGGTATCCTGAGCTTAGCATCTCAGGCAGCCATTCTGGGGTGGCTGAAGCTGCGTTCACAATGAGCCCAGACCTTGCGGGTGACAGTTTGGGGATAATTTGGTGTAGCTGTGTAAGATTCTACTGGAAGGCAATAGAAAACAACTTCCTGCCTGTGATATGAACCTGAAAGTCTGTACTTTGAATGTTATGATTAAGTAAAAAATGCACGTAAACTGAGGAAGGTTAGACATTAGCTCAGCATTTCCCAAGAGTTTCTTACGCATAAAAAGTCACTTGATACCCAATTTAGGAGTCCAGTGGCTCTGGGTTGGAAAACAGTGTCAGTGAGAAGATCCAAAGGGTATTCCATAACCTTGTCTACCTTCAGATACTGCAGGTGCAGTAAGGTAAAAAGTAAGTCTTCTGATTTGACAGACGTTACTGTACAAAGAACAAAGGAATAGAGAGCCACAGGCTTTGATTACAAAGAATCATTGGGAAGAAAGGGATTAAGTGTCACTGCCTCAACATGGCTGTAGGACAAATGTTTAATTATTACTAACACTTCGCTACTCTCCTGTGTAGTAACACTGGTACTGAGCTACTCGAGTGAGGTTTTACTTTGAAGAATGCCATGAGATTATTTTCAGAAGCATCTCTCCTGTATTTGAACACTGTCATTGCAGTCATGATAGTGATGTGCTGTTTATTTCACAGAGACGATTTTGAACCTTTACGTGTTTGAATGTAAGTAGCACCACAGATTCAAATTTTGAAGCCCATTTCCCAAAATACTCATTTGAATAACCCTTTTAAAAAAACGAAGTTCATACCAGTTCTTGGAACTCCCTGAATACATCTGTCTTGATGACTTTATGATTCATGTCATAAGAGATAAGACAAAAATTCCCTCGAGTGAAGGATAGAAAAATCCAAGTAAAAGAAACTTAAAACCCATTTAAAGTGAAAAACCCTTCTGAAGTATTATAGGGTGGAAGTAGAAACCAGTTAGAAACAAGCAGTCAAGCTTAGACTAACAGAGGCCAGTGATGATTCATTACTCTGTTTAGTCACCCCAAAGTAGCTTTCAGTGTAACATTTACTGCAGGTTCAGAAAGGAGACTCCCATCAGCAAAGTGTGAAAGGTTTGTAGGCTGGCCAGCATCTTAAGATTTGCAGAGTAATACTTACATGAAGAAACAACAAATTTTGCTGCCTATACTGACAAATCATGTCACAGAGCAGAGCAGTCAGGGAGGGACTTTGTGGACTCAAGTGGACTTTGCTGTTGCAAACACTCCCCTTGTTGAACAAGTGCCCACTAAGAGATGTCACCTTTTAGTGAAGCCATTGCTGTAAATGAGAATTTGCTGGAAGACCTTCAAGAAATGTTTCAGAATAATGCCTTAATCTCAATTTTTGTTCAGCAAAAATCTCAACATTTTCATGCTTCTGTTCCCTTCTCCGATTAGTAACTTCTAAAAAATTCAGTAGCATTTTCATCTAAAGAGTGCTTTGGCCCTGTCACTTAGCTCTTGCTTTTGTTTTCTGCACCAAATGATTGCAGATGTTTTTTATTCCTGATTCACACATAAGAAAATGGAAACATCTGGAGTTTAGATGCTAAGTTTTAAGAAGTGTGGGTTCTTACCCCCTATTGATTCCGTGTTTCACTCTCACAGCAGGAGAAGCATACAAACATGCAAGTGTGCAAATTCCTGATGTGTACACTCATCTGGTTATTGGCAATTGCAAACCTCTGCTCCTCTTGAGGCATGTGTGTAATTTTTCATGCATGCAAGCTTTAAAGATACAGACTTACTATACAGAATGGAGCGTATTATAAAGAGGTTCCTCACATAGGTGATGTTTTTATCTGTGTCTTATAGAATTAAATTTGAAACGATGCTTTTTGTCCAGGTAAAACTGTTTGTCTGTTCTTAGAGTCCCATTTGGTAGTTAGCTTTTGCACCAAAAATTGGAGTAAGATTGTTTCATCCTGAGAGACCCGACTTTTGATTCCAAATCCTTTCTGTGCCATTAGATACTGCTCAAGACGTGAATGAATATCTGCCATCCCTGTCTGTCATAAACCATTTTTTGCATATCCTCCATGTTATATTCCATACGTTTCCTTAGCGGTAGAATGAGAGCCAGGCTTCTGATTCCTGCATCTTCTAAGTCAGTTTGGATTTGGAAGTGTAAACTGAAGTATTGTATTTCTTGCTTCATTCCATGTGTAGGCTGCTTGGCTGCTGAAAGCTGTCACCTGCGTAGACCTTACCACTCTTTCAGGTGATGATACTCCTTCAAATGTTCACAGACTGTGTTTTAAAGCAAAGCATCCCATCAGAGAGGATCTGCTGAAAGCCTTGGATATGCATGATAAAGGTATGATTGGTTTTGTTGTGTGTGTTGTGTAGAGAAAATGTCTGCATTTCCTCAGTATTTTTTCAATTTTCAGATAAGTGTAAAAATGGCCTCCTCTTCCTGTAATGGAAGCAGTTACGGTAGGCAGCACTGCAAAGCTAATAGTCCCAAGAGAACAAACTAGGTCCTATATGGTCTTCATCAAAGCAACTATCTTAAGTTCTAACTGCAAAATATCTATGCCTTTGAGTTAATATAAAAATATAAGGAGAAAAAAATTTGTTCTCAGTTTGGCAACCAAAGTGAAGCATGGAGTCAGGGTAACACTGTAAGTTATGATACCTGATGAGGAAATTTTATATGGAAGCCACAAGTGTATAACCTTGGTGTATGACTTTTAGTAACAGTGCACTAAGGTGAAACTAATTGAATATTCTGTTAATTTGCTGATGTCCTTACTAAATTGGAGAAGGGGGGAGTGTTCATATGACTTCTTTGGATTTCATGCTTAGCTGCTGTCGCTTTATATAACTACCAAGCCTGCCACTTTGCCTGTCAGAAAAGAAGCGTTCCGCAGTCCTAAGCACGTTATTTTTACTTTGGGAAAACATTATCTGTTACCTGCTTGTTTCAGTAGTTAAGGTAGCAGACACCTTTGCAGCCCAGTCTACTTTAAGGAATCAGTCCTGTAGTGAATGTATGTGGTTGTGTGCATATGCCGTATACACACGTGTGCACACGCACACACACAGAGAGTTCCCAGCTAAGTCAACAGAGTTGAAGGGGCAGACAACAGCCCTTAAGAACTAGTGGTAGAACTTTCATTGATATTACTCAAGCAGGCTCCATCTGAAGTCCCAATGTTACGCCCAAGACTGAACACAATTCAACTTCAGACCAAATTGAGACTGTCAATATTACAATCAATAAAACTTCTTTATATCTGAGCAGCTCTTCTGAATTTTTCCAGATGTAATCGCTGATGTGTCTGTGAACAGTATTTGACTTTTGTCCTGTCATGTGGGCCTTATCTATCCAAACCAAAATTTCAGTGACATTTGGGGCATGCTTTTACTGTTAAGTTGTTTCAGTTTTGCATGGGCATTGGTCCACCAATTGAAGTCATATGATGTAAAACCAAAGGGGAATCAGGCCTCTGGTTTTAAGCCATACACATGAAATATCAAAGATTAGTCTTCTTTTAAAACTTGGATTTATGGACTCTTCAGACAATTGAAGTATTAAATATAAGGTCAATTATCTGAGACTTTGAGAGAATAGCATTTTAACTAGAAATGCAGTAGGACTGCATTAACATAGACTTCTCAGTTGCTGCTGGGCTCAGCCTGGCTCAACAAGTAAGTTGTTCTTCTTGCAGTAAGTTGCTGACTAAGCATGTCTTAACTCTACATGTTGGCATTAAACAGCGAATCTGTTGATAAAAATATTGGCGTTTTAATTCCTGTTAATGCAGAATTGCTCCCAGGGTCAGGTGAAAGAACATGAGGGAGGTATCAATATGGAGAATCACCTGAAGTCTTGAACAATAAAACAGATATCCCTAGTGTAGGTGCTTAAAATCCATGTGAGAAAGCAAAAATGGGAGGTGCAAAACCAGAGTGCACATGCTCATAATTTGGATTGCAATAGAGAAGGTGGAAATCTATACATATGAAAATGTAAACTGTGGCTTTTGCAGGTATTACTGTTGGAGCAGTTTGTGTATATCCCGCAAGAGTCACTGATGCTGTTAATGCCCTAAAGGCTGCTGGTTGTAACATACCAGTAGCTTCAGGTACGTTTTATTCTAAAATATCCAATTGAATATTTTGATGCTATGAAATATGTAGAAAAATCCAGAAGTTTGGACTTGCTTTTGTTTCAGAGAGTAAGGTAGAAAGGTAGCAGGTGGAAGGAAGGGAATGGAGCGGAGGATTTGCTTCTCGTGCGATCTTTTGTTTTCTTTCAACTTCAAGCTTATCAGCAACGCCAAGTCTGTTTGCCTGGAAACTCTTCAAGGGAGTTCTTGAGATCTATCAACATTTCCCTCACACAAATAGAAGAAATTACAATAGTGTGCAGGACAGGCTGAGGGAGTTGGGCTTGTTCAGTCTGGAGAAGAGAAGGCTGCGGGGAGACCTGATTGCGGCCTTTCAGTACCTAAAGGGGGCCTATAGGAAAGATGGGGAAAATCTTTTTAGTAGGGCCAGCTGTGACAGGACAAGGGGTAATGGTTTTAAACTGAAGCAGGGTAGGTTTAGACTGGATATAAGGAAGAAATTCTTTACAATGAGGGTGGTGAAACACTGGAACGAGTTGCCCAGAGAGGCAGTGGAGGCCCCACCCCTGGAAGCATTCAGGGCCAGGTTGGACGGGGCTCTGAGCAACCTGAGGGAGTTAGCGGAGTCCCTGCTCACTGCAGGGGGGTTGGACTAGATGACCTCTAGGGGTCCCTTCCAACCCAAAACATTCTATGATTCTATGATCAGTAGACACTAAGTAGGTGATAATAATAAAACTGCAATATGAGATTGTAGGAGTTCTAACACATGGGGTTTTTTCCCTATCAGTTGTTTGGCTTTTAAGTATAATCCTACAAGCTGAATTCAATGAAACTGTGTGCAGAGGCAAGGGTTATTGCCTGCTGAGCAGCCCACAGGCTCAGGACTTGTACTCGCAAATCTAATAGTGGCAGCTCCTCTCCAGTCACCACACACAACACACAAGTCCTGAATCTACAATAAGCAAGAACTAGATTCAAAGAATTATGCAGGTTGGAAGGGAGCTCTGGATGTCATCTGGTTCAACCTCCTGCTCAAAGCAGGGGCTAGCTTTGAAGTTAGATCAGGTGTTTAATGCTAAGATCTGTGTTTTCTGGTTTGTTTGGGTTTTTTTTTTTGTTGTGGTTATTGTTGTTTCATTGTCACGTAGGGAAAAATACATACTAAATGCATCTATATGTCAGAGGGAAAGAAGATCTCTTTGTCAGAGGTCCTCTTTGTCATTAGTTCTTCCATTTCCAAAGTTACCTTTGGGTTTTGCAGTTAAACATCATAAAGGTAATTTTAAGCAAACCTCATTGAAAACAATTTTTGCTGTATTGTGATTTAGCTGTTAAACATATTACTGGGATTTAACTTGAAATACTACTTGGAAGAATTGGGGAGAATGAAAAATGTATGTATTCCTTCATATATGAGTTCACTCCTTGTTTGCTCAATTTTGCTGGAGGCAATAGATATTGTGCTTTCTTATGTACACTGCTTTGGAAAAATTTAAGGCATGTGAAAGAGACCTGTTTGCAAGACGCACTTAGTATCTTGCTGAATGTTGGTTCTTGAGGGAAGAGCAAGTGTTTCTTGTGGATGAAGAGAGGGTAGGATGAGATGCCTTGAGATTTTTTGAATTGTGGTATGGAAAAAGAATAACTTCCAAACTTTTTGGTGTATTAGAGGTATTTGCAATTATATGGTCAACTTATGAAACATTTTCTTCTATCTACCTGCATCTTCATTCTTCCTAGTGGCTGCTGGGTTTCCATCTGGACAAACTCCTCTAGAAACCAAACTGGCCGAAATAAAGCTAGCTGTGGAATATGGTGCCAGAGAGATTGATATTGTCATTAGCAGGAGCCTGGTGCTGACTGGCCAGTGGGAAGGTAAGGAACCTAAGCCTGTGTATATGCATGTGCAAGCTCTGTCTTTGTCTCTTCCCCCAGTCTCCACAACAGTCCTTGAAGAATTTGGTCCCTCCTGTAAGAGTGACCGATAATCTGGGGCACTGAACTAAATAAAAACTATTTAACTAATTTATGACTAATGATCAGATTTTTTTTTTTTTTTTTTTTTTTTTTTTTTTAAGAATGCTGTTACAAGTTCTGTCAGGTTGGGTATTCAGGATGACTTTGTGTTTTGAAAATTCAGGTCTATTCCTTCTGTGCCTTTAGAGGATTTTGTCTACAGGATTAAAAAAATAGCAAGTGGAATGGAAGGGAATGCCTATGGTCTAATTATTTGAATGGTTTTGTTAAAACTCCCAGAGGGCTGCTAATGTAGATGATACCTTGTTAAATATACATGTTTCAATTCTTGACAAAATTATGTATTTTAGTTGTTTTCTTTTCCGTGGAAGTTGAGGTTACAAATTGACTGTTCATGTTATTATTGATGTTCTTGTGCCTGTAGACTACTACTAATTAGTAAGAACAATAATGCTGAAGATGGTTTTTGCTCTAATTGCCTCCTTAATGTACTGTGAATGGTTTGCCTTAAGTGCTGACAATGCTCCTGTAACTAATCTCCATGTGAAGGTAAACACATCATTGTCTTGGAATGAATTTTCCATTTAGTTGTACACTGCATTGCTGTAATTGCCCGTTTGCTTGGAAGGCTTTATAAAGGACCCCGGTACCTGAGTTTGGTTAAAGAAATGCAGTCATTGTGGTAACAAATCATGTTTTCTGATTTTGGTCTTCCTTCAATTGCAGTTGGAATTGAACCAAAAAACAAGTTTCTGCATCTGTGTTCTCAGGACTAATACCCTGGTTTCTATTTACTCTTAACATCTTGGCCTCTTCTGTAGTATTTACCATCTCCGTTCTTTTGCTCTTAAATATATGCAGCTTTACAAATGTTTGACTTCTTGAGGATGGGCATTGTCACAGACCATTTGTTTCTTTCAGAGTGGCTATTCTAAGTTCAGGTATGTCCCCAGAAATTGCTAGAATATGGAGGCAGGGTGATTGGGCAGTTTTAAGTAAGACAGGATGATGGTCAAATTCTGTACCAGCTGGCAGCAAGAGTATATGCGCACCTTCTTATGCTGTGTCTTTGTTAGGGTTTACACTATGGTCTACAAAGCAGGTACGCCCTCCAGGAGCTGTGCTCTGCTGTAGGTCTTGGATGCAAAACAAGCTGAGTCAGTGATCTGTCACCAAGACTAAAAAAAGGCCACTAAACTGGACTTGAGCAGTTGTGTCTGAAAAAGTCTGTCTTTTAGCAATTTCTGACATAAGTGTGGTTACCATGCTTCAGACTTCATGGTACAAACTGCTGTTAAGTGCAAGTTGCACAAAGCAGAGATCAGAAGGGTAGTGCATGCAGGCGGTTGCAAATGCAGGCTCAAGACTATATGGCCCGGGATTATGCAAAGGAGAACTCAGAGGAGAAATACAGGGCTAGATTCAGGAAGTTTATATGAGTGCTTGAAATCAGCCAGACATACATCGCTCGGTTTTTCTATATGGGAAACAAATTGTTTTCTGTGGTCATAAATTACAAGGGAGGAGTACAGAGACATAGCAATGATGGATGTAGTATAAAGCTGTCAGTTTACTAAATAAGTAAATTATGGATGACTTTTGATTTGGTATGCATATTCTTTTATCCACAGCTGAAGTCGTGAGAAGGTTTAAAGCCATCATTTTTTTGGCAACTGTTAGTTTACATTTCTTTTACTGAGGGTAGAATTGAAAATATTTCCAAATGTTTTCTGAAAGTTTTGTTTATGAATGTGAATCTGTGTATGGCACTTATTTTCATGGTCTTGAAAATAGCTACCTCAGGAACAGAATTTACTTGCCATCGAAATAATGACACTACAGGGTGAAAAATCCTAATATTTAACTCGCCTGTCCAAAAAAAAAAAAATTACCGTAGGTTGTCTGAATATTTTTGTGAAAATCTGGTGTCCTGACTTCATGTTTAGCTTTCAATAGATGTGTGTTACCTGTGTGAATGTGCAGCTCTCTACCTCTGTCTAATGATGAGGTATGGTACACAACAACATATAAAGTACGTTTAAGGAAGCTAGAAAGGATGAAGGACTTTTTTTTTTTTTGGGGGGGGGGGGGGGCTGGATTTCTGCATAAAATTGAAAAAGTCTAGTGCAGTAACTATGCCTGTGTTCAAGGTACTTCATCAACTAGAGCTGCCTCGCAGTTATGACAGAACCTCTGCTTATGCTTATAAAACGACTATATTTTTATCATTATTTTCTCATGCTGCCTGTCTTCACAACTTCAGGAATTATTGACAAAAATACGTATGTGGTAGAGAACTTTATCTTACTGTTCATATATTTTTAGCTTTGCTTCTAGCCTGTGCAATAATTGGGGTCACCATGATAGAATAGTGTTGCTTTGTGATTTGTTTCAAAGGCTTGTTTGGTTATTAAATATTTTAGTGTATGTCCAATTATGTCAAGTTATTTTAAGCAGTTCTTAAATATTGTTGGAACTCTTTATGACACTCAGAATATATTTTCTAGATCTTTGCAAAGTAATTGTTAAGAGCTTTTTAATAGTGCTGAACATGAAAGCAGCTTTATTGGACAGTTAATTTAGCCTGGAAAATAACATTAAATGAGATTTAAGTTTATGAACTTGTATACCTTTTACAACCTATTAGCTTTTAGAGCAATATTACTTTACAATAGTTTACTCAACCATTGTCTTGTATCACTCGACAAAGTATGTATTAAGCTTAAAAAAATCATAATTTAGTGCCTTTAAGCCCGGAATATGGAGCCTGTTTGTAAAGAGTGATGAAGTTGACCAACAAATTGTTGAATGAAACTGGATTTTTTTTTTTCCCCCCCTCTTATCATATAATATGTTGGGCTTGCTGTACCTTCTGAAGCTGCCTGAGCTTCCACAGCTTTTAGCAAACACCTGGACATACCACAGTGTCACCCGCTTCAGAGGTCTTGATAACCTATCTTTTGCTCTATGTCAGTCAAAGCTTCCTACAAGAAAAGAGAAAAAACGTAGTATACTCTAAGGAGTTTTAACACACCTGCATCCATGAAATGCTTTAGGTATAACCTTGTTATGAAAGCTGCCTTTCAGTTCTTAATAATTATTCAACTGTTCAGGGCTTTGTTCAGGGATTGGGGCCTCCTTTTGTAGTACATACCTTATAAACAGGGCAGGGGAAATACACTCCACACTCCAAAGACTTGGAAAAGACTCCACATGCTGTTCAGAAATATTATAATTGGATTTACCATTTTCTAGATGTGCAAGCCGACTTGGGACCTCAAAGGCTAGTTGCAATTCCTTTCTTATACTGGCAGCAGCAGCTCAGACTCCTGAAGCCAAGCTCTGTTTTCAGTTTCATGTGAATCACTGGAGCCTGGACTTGCACATATGTGGCTGAGAGCAGAACTGAAAGAGTCGTGTTGTGCTGATAGCCTTGCGCTTGTCATTTTGTTAACAAACCTGCCATTAATGTGCAAGACAGAAGGGATTCCAGCTCATTTTCTGGTTTCCCATCATGATTACCTTGATCTTTTGGTCTAACAGAAATTGAAACATCTTCCCTCCTTGTCTCAGTTTCTGCCCTTAACATCAGTCAATGTGACTGACTATATAAAAACAGCAAATACGCTGAATTAAAAAAAAAAAACAAAAAACACACACAAAAACCAAAAAACCCAAACAAAAAGAGAAAGTGTTTTTATTGCGGCATGTTTGGAGAAGAGCTGTTTCATAAAAATTTAAGCCATGGTTTTTTTCCCCTTAATATTTTCATCTCCTGTGTAGGAGATATGGATTATCCCCTTTATTATGTGATTTTTTTAGGACAAATTTATTAGACCAAAGCAAAAGGTCATCTAGACGATCTAAGGCAGACTATAGCCAGCAGTAACTGTCAGGGATGTTTGCCTGAGAGATGTGTTTGAGGGAGGCTCGTTTTCTGTGGTGCATTTAATAGCTGAAAAAAACCCAATGTAATGTTAGTACTGAATAGTTAGACTTTTAGGAAAACTACAAAAAAGCTACCTTTCAACACTTGCCTTTTATAGCAGTGGAATTAAAATCACAGCTGTGAAAGTCTTTTTCGTTCCTATAAAATCTGAATTTTTCTTACTTTAATAAGTGCATCCAATAAAAGCAGTTCTAAAGTTCATGAAAGCAGCAAGGTATCTTAACTAAGTGGGTGCAAAGTAGAAGAGTTGTTATGTCACATCCATTTTAACAGCTAAGTCAGTGGAGCTATTACAGACTACATCAGTGAGCTTCTGGCTCCAAATATATTCTATGTAAGTTGGCTTGCTTTGGATTTTTTTTGTTTATTTGCTTGTTTTTCCTGGCTTAAGACTTAGACTTATTTTAGAATAGTGTTGGTGTGTTGGTGCTGTGTTCAAGATGCTACACAGTATTGGCCATTTGCTTTGAGAGGTTGTGATTGTCTTTTCCCTGGTTTTAGCAGTCAGGAGGAGAATCTCTAGCAACCACTTCATGGTAGTCTTAGCTCACAGCTGAAAATATGCCTGCAGGGTTTTCTGTGATTGAGGTTTTTCCCAGAAGCTTTCTGCCACTACTGCTAACCAGGGAAGCTCTCTCTGCTTTGTCAGTTACTGGTGTTCTGCACAGGTTGCAGGTATTCCCAGAACCACAGTGTCCAGCTCTGTTCCTGCTACTGATCGGCTTGATGGAACTGAGTAAAGTGATGGACTTCTTGGCAGCACAGACCCCCCTTCCCAGTAGAAGCCCAGGACCCCTTGGGTGCATTTTCAAGTGTGATTAACTCCACCCATACTTCAGACATTTGCCAGGAAGTTTCAGGATAATCAGGCTACTTGTGTCTTGATTTAAATCTGGCTGAGTATTGAAACCTCTTTTTTAGTTTTGAGAGGAGTTTTTGCACTCGTTCTGTATCCAAAGCAGTCCCTGCTTGTACTGGGACTGGGGTGCTCTTGTTAAGTTTCTCTGTCCCAGAGGTAGTTGCGTTTCTATTTGTGCTTTTACTGTAGGGCTGAGAACGTCCTATGAATACCAGCTATTGTCTGCAATAATTGGTCTCTGAATAAAGAGCAGTATTTATTACCTACACACCTGCCCCATTAAAGTATGCCCACTTTTCCACCAACTCAGCTAACCTGATAGACACAGATGATTGAAGATCCTCCATTTTTTCCTGTCTGTGGGTTGATGCGTGCTGTCAGATAGTGAGACTGCTCAAATGATCTTGGCACTAATTGCTTATAAAAGTACCTTCCAACAATAGGGAAGATGCTGCAGCTGTGGCACTAACTCCAGTGAACAACAGCTATGAGGATATAATTTCTTTTCACGGAATCCAACCTAAATGTACATTTTGTTGATTTTATTTTGACATTTTTGGCGGCGTATCTTAAAGGTAAAGAAAACTCGAGTCTTTTCTTCTTGTTACCGAAACTGGAAGAACATGAAAGCTGCTTTCTCTGGCTTTCCAAAAGCTTCAGGAAAGAGTCACTCCACAAAAAGAGACTGCATTTGGATATAACATGAGCACTATTATCAAATACACAAGAAAATAGCAGAGGGTCTTTGTATTTCCTTTTTGAGTCTCAATTTGATGTAGGTTTCTGGAGTATCATCAATTGATCAATAAAACATGTTTGACTGCATGCTAGTACTGATTAATTCACACCTTTGGTACATAGTAAGAAACAAGGTGAAGCCTGGTGTCTTTAAAGGGACTTGCTAAGTGTATTAGCCAGTTGTCTACTAAAGCGTGTGGTACGTCTCAGAGACAACCCCAGTGATCCCAGCCCTGGCTGCCTGGTGTGCCGATGGCATCAATGGTGTACAGCAGCATCGTGGGTGGAGGGGAGGTCCAGCCGTACGGCAGCTGGTAAACCCTACTCTATATTTCCAGGTCTTGCTAGAGGACTGAGGAGAAAAGAAAACTAGTATTGCTGAAAAAATTTAGTCTCCATAGCCGTATCCTGGACATTTTTTAGCAAGAAAGATTTGTTAAAAGCTGTATTTTAGCCTTCCATAAACAAACTTTTCAATTATATGTTTGAAGATTTAATACAATTTGTGAAAAGGACTTTTTTAAAATTCAAATCCCAGAAATGGTGACTGTACACTGTAAGAGCTGCTTTTCTCCCCACCATTAACGCTGGATGAATCTTAATCATCCCCAGGTGGCCAGCTTCTAACAGGTATGTTTTGATAACTTCTACCTGTTTTAATCTTCCTCTGTTTAAAATTTTGTGGGAGCACTGCCGAATCTTACAAAAAAAAATGGTGGGAGGGTTTCCCTTTGCCCCCTGTGTTGCATTACCTGACCAAGTCTGCAAGTTCTAGCCTTTTTTAAAAAAACACAGTCCATTATGTCCAAATTTATACCAGTCCTTACTGAGTCTGTGAAAATATAAAACTGTTAGGAAGTTAAGCATGACACATTGTAGATCCAAAAGCAGGAGTTTGCAAGGGGATGGTCTGCTCTGGGCAATGCCCGTGAGCAGCCAAATGCTGGCCTGTCCTCCCTGTCCCTGGGTGCAGCTGGTGGCCGGCTGGTTGAGCAGCAGTTCACCAAGAAGCGGCGAGCAGGTGGGATGTGTGCTGGCTTGTCTCAGGGATGCCCTGGCTGCTTGGAGGCAAGAGCTGAAGGTGGGAAGACAGAGTGATAGCAAGAGGCCCTCCAAAGGTGATGGAGCTCTCTGTGGGGAAGAAGGGGCAACTCCAAGGCAGGGCTTGCTTTTTGTTTTCCAAGTGGCATGAAGATACAGAGATAATGGTCTGCTTTATCTCTGATCTAAAAGACTTTATATAAGTCAGTCCTGCTGCCTGCGGCAGTGCGTGTGTGTGTAACAGTGGCTCATGACAAACCTCTGTCATGAACTCCGGCCAGCTTCCTCGGCGAGCATGGGCATCAGAAGCGAAGGTCCAGCTCTGCCCTTGGGGCTGTAGCTAGGCAGATGTTGTCCTGCCAGTCCTCCTGCCACGGTGCTTCCTTCACCCATGCCGGGGCCACCTGAGGTCAGCACAGGATGGTCCAAGTCCTCGTTAACCTCGTGGGCAATACAACTACTTGAGGTGGTTTGTTAATGCAGATCTGTGCGGATTTGCTGGTCCTTGGGGTGTGATCCCAAGCCTTGGCCTCTCCTCAGCAGGGATGTTAGCAGACCGCATTGATTTTTTTCAGGAAATTCTTATTTTCAAGAAGCTTAAAGTGGGATTCAGATGCCTAAACACAGGCATCTAGCTCCATAATCAGACTTCCCAAGATGGTCCCATGGTACTAGGGAGAACAGTAGGAGACCAAAGGGAGATGTGGAGCCTCCAGGAGTGACAGCTGGAAGCCAAGGGGTATATGTCATGGCATCTCAGGTGGCGCTAATATTTGTAGTTAGACAACTTGGTCACACCTTTGGTGTCTTTTAGGCTGAGCCCTTTGGCAGATGTGGCTGAAGGGGGCAGAGGAGGTGATGATGTGATGGGGACAGGAAAACGTAACTGTCCCTGAGTACTGATTCAGTGTGTTACCATACTTACTGCTGAGAAAGCTGTGTAAAAATCAATCTTGACTATCATAGCATTTTTTACTCCTGATGTATTCACGAGTGTTTGGCATACTGTGCACATTCTTAGTTTTGAGAGAACCGACATTAATAGCTATTAAGTTAAGTCTGAAACTGTGTGGCATTATTAATTACCTCCAGTCATGTAATTTATTGAACTTACAAAACTTAAGTTCTTGAGTGCTATGACTAATTATAAGATTGGAAATTAATCCAGAAGTGAAAATTACAGCCGTACTTGAAAATGTCTCTCAGGCAACTTTGATCATTTTCACATGCTTTTATCCACAGGTCTCTACGAGGAGATCCGTCAGTGCCGTGAGGCCTGTGGAGAAGCTCATATGAAAACAATCTTGGCCACAGGTGAACTGGGATCCCTTGCTAATGTCTACAAAGCCAGTATGATAGCTATGATGGCAGGTAAATATATGTGGTCGTCTTTTTAAGCTAAGAATGTCTTTGCTATATTATTTATGAAGCTTCAAAAATTCTACTAGTGAAAGTTTACTTTTGCTGATAGTGGGCAAAAACTATTATGCAGCAATTACTGAAGTTGCAGGTGTAATAACGAAGTATAACCTACAAAAACTGCGTCAAATGTTAAATAACACTTAAAACTGCTATACGACAAAACTTGTAGGAACAAATATTTGTTGTCAGACGTCTGTTCCTTGGTGTATTTAATAAGGATACATATATTTGGGGCAGATAGGCTTATTATCCAGCCAACTGTGGTGAGCTACAGGTATGGTGTAGGTAGATGGCTCGTAAGCTTATTTTAAATGCAGGGGGAACTTTCCTGTGAAGGTTCATGCTGACAGCTCTCATTTCTGGTTTGCGATCACTTCTTAGCACCTCTGTGAGAGTGCAGTTTGGGAAACCAGCTATGCTGGACATGCAGTGAGGGGAAGAATACCACACGCTCCAGCAGGTGCTGGGATGGGCTAGTTTATAACTGGTTTTAACTGGCACTCTCAAAAGCAGTAGCACTCACTACCAGCAATTAATTGGCACTGCAAAAGGTGTTTGTTCTTCCCCGTCTTTGAAAACTCAGTTATGTCTGACCTGATGTTTAGGAGTCTCTCTGTCTTTTATCCTGAACCTTCCAGCTAAGAAACACATTCCCATGAGCAGGATAGAGTTTTTAGAGGCTGTGTGTAGTTTGTAGGTATTATTTTTATGCATAGCTACAGCCATTGCAGACTGAATGTAGTGAAGCACCCATTTGAGCCCAGGTTTACAGCAGTATATTCTCTCTGCAGCTTTGAGCCTGTGCTGGTATAATTTTCCCTAATTTAACCAGGATTTTAGGGCTGTGTTTTAATGCCATCTTTAAGATGCATAACCAGGAATTGGCTTATAAGGCAAAGTTCTTTGAACTCTGTTCTAGACACTTGCTTCTTCCACCGTACTTGAAAGAGGGCTCTTTAGGTATATTGATAGAGAGAAGTGTAAAGAAATACTAAGGACCACTTGGGTTAGTCTGTCTTCTACACTTTCCCTCATTTTTGTGGTGTTTTTTTTTTTTTCCTCTACTGTAAGCTCTTCAGACCTGGAATTTCTTCTTACTTTAGAGGAAGAAAAAGTCATCCAAGTGTCTTGTCAGTATGTAAATAAAAATTCAACTCGCTGCTGACCTCGTATCCTTATACAACACTATGCTTATCTATTGCAAATGGAATGGGAAGCATTTCAGGCTTTTCACACGCTGAGTTAGAATGTCAGTTAGTACTATTAGACACAGAGGATAAGCACTATGCCAGTAAACATTGCTTTTAATTAGAAGAGGTGTAAGAAATACACATTTCCTGTAATTTAAACTGATGTGCTAATCATTATGATCACTTTTTGTAACATGGAGTAGTGAAAAATTCAGGTTGCAAAGCATTTTAACATTTTCAGATTTTTTGCTGGTGTAGTTTTTTTGAAATACAGCAGATGGCTCTATTGTTAATGATTTTCCTTGCATAGTTATTCATTTTACAAGGTACTTATCCATCTGAATATGTGCAGTAATTTCCTTATTTCAGTCTCTTGCGTTTTCTTTGTGGGTAGGTGCAAAGAATTTATTGGTGCCCTACATACATGTATTGAGGGCCAGGTTTTCAGACTCTTGACTTGTCAGAACTGCTGAGAACCTCAAATTCCAGTTGGATTTTGTTTGATCTGCATATTTGTACCATTTTGGGGAGAAAGTAATTTGGCACGGTGTGTTTGAGTTCTAGTTATTTTTTCAACTGCTACCATGATTTAAAGGAAAGAAAATAAAAATCCAGATGATCTTATGGATATGGCAGGCCCTGTCAACTTTTATCTGAAGATAAAAAAGCAACATCTCTGATAAACTTGACTCCAGTTTTATATGGGGAAACAAGTTACACAATGTAGTAGATTCATCTGCAAAACTGGCTTTAGAAGTCTTTGCTGCTGTTGGCTCCTGTCCTTTACACCAAAATTTGCTGCTCCTTCAGCTGTGCTGTTAAAGTGCTCATCATGCTGCATTGTAAATTGAGCTTTCAAAGTAATGCAGTTGAAAATTACTCCAGAAAAAAGGTAACTGGTTTGTTGTGTTGGGTTTTTTTTTTTTCTTTAATTGGTTGGCAATGTGGGGTTTTTTTTAAACAGTCACCACCTCATCAGTCTGGTTAACAGCCTTGCCTTGCATGCAACTGTATCAAGTGCAACTGAGGACATGGCATACAGTCCTTAAACTGCTTTCACTTCACAGTGCATGATGTAAGCCTATCACTAGGGAGCACAAAATCCCAAAGATGTTTACATTGCCATTGCTGAGCATGCACACATTCACCTCGGTTCCAAAGCGCAGAGCCACTAGATGTGTTGTAACGTATATATAAAAGTCCTTTACACCAAAATTTGCTGCTCCTTCAGCTGTGCTGTTAAAGTGCTCATCATGCTGCATTGTAAATTGAGCTTTCAAAGTAATGCAGTTGAAAATTACTCCAGAAAAAAGGTAACTGGTTTGTTGTGTTGGGTTTTTTTTTTTTTCTTTAATTGGTTGGCAATGTGGGGTTTTTTTTAAACAGTCACCACCTCATCAGTCTGGTTAACAGCCTTGCCTTGCATGCAACTGTATCAAGTGCAACTGAGGACATGGCATACAGTCCTTAAACTGCTTTCACTTCACAGTGCATGATGTAAGCCTATCACTAGGGAGCACAAAATCCCAAAGATGTTTACATTGCCATTGCTGAGCATGCACACATTCACCTCGGTTCCAAAGCGCAGAGCCACTAGATGTGTTGTAACGTATATATAAAATATGTGTATTTCCAACGTGTCTCATTTATGAGACTCAGAAGGCTGAGAGAGTAACACAGTGCTGATTTATCACTAGCTCTGTGGTTAGAAAGCTTGCCTGGGATTTCTGGGATTTGTTCTCTCTGACTGAGGTGGTTCTCCTCCACAAGGGTCAATTTTACAGTGTATTTGCCATTAAGGATCTCAGTCCCTTCTGATAAAGTTGCTCTGCTTTGCACGCAGCAATTAACTGAGCAGGGAATACAACCCAGATGTCTCGTCTCTCAAATAACTTTCCAAAATTTCTATACAGTCTTCCTTGTGTTGGCTTGAGGAATTATTGGTGTACGCTGGGAACCTGCAGCACGTTAGACTTAGTCTGATTCAGCTAGCAGGTGGGGGTTCAGCCACTGGACATGAGGCCAGCTGCACAGACTTGAAAAGGGATGGTAAAAGGTCAAAAAATGGGCACCTCTGCATTGGCTGGGGTTTTAAAAGAACGTTAAGGGCCATGCTCAGGCTGGGGTGGTGTGCCTATTCACCTTCGTATTCAAAGCAGATTGCATAGGCTGCGTCTGTAGGCAAACATCTGTAACTGCCTCACGGCCCTTGCAGGACTCAGCAGAAGCCATTCACTACACACCAGTGAGTGAGGCTGAGCCCAGCGAGACGTGCAGGTCTCAGGGTCCCAGCAGTGCACTGGAAGTGGAGGCCAGTTGTAGAAACAGTGCTTTGTACAACATGCTTGTGTACAAAATGTTAATGCTTGCACCTGCAAGAATTTGGAGAAAAAGCGTCGCTTCATAGTGAGATGTGATAATAATTTACCTTTATCTGAAGCAGTGGCTCTTGGCTTCTCCTGTGTCTGTCTCCAAAGTACCATGACTACTTTTTCTTCCTTCTTTAGCACAGTACATACAGAGAAAGACATCAGAATGGGAGCAGGCACCCAGTTCTCTTAAATTCTTCTAACTGCACCTTTACAGACTTGACTGACACACTAAAAATTCTTCTGGAATATTTAAGAACCTGTTTCTGAGTGAAAGGCTGACAGCCCTCTAAGGACAGTGACTCACCTGGCAAGAATAATCCTAGCAGTGCTAAGAAGAACATAATGGCAGGTAGGACTGCACATTAGTGGCTCTGTGTCACCACCTAAGGAGCACACTGTTTTCGGAAAGCTGACCGAGAGAAAATTTCGGCATCGCATCAGGGAACTTTTGGTCATTGGTTTATAACACCCACTGCCATTTCTTGAGCATATTGAAAGTCTTGATGATGGTTTGAGTACATGAGCTTCTCAGGGGAAACCAAGTGCATCTTTGACTCTACCAGACAGCTTCCAGACAATGTATAGAGCAAACTAATTAGTGTTTTTCACTGGCTGGTGTATACTTGTGTAAGTCACCTGCATTTCTACAGGAAACACTCTTATCTGTGTCTTCATAGCCTCTTGGAATAAACAGTCCTAAGGAAGACAAATGGGAGTGCCTGACTACCCCATACCAGAGGGAACTATTCTATGTTTCTTCATCATGGTGTCTTTGAAAAAAAGCACGTCTTATACACAGTTGTCTTATGAGAGGTTGGCCATTTTTTAAACCTTTATTTTTTGACACAAGCATCAGAAACTGCCAAGGAAGCCAGACAAGGAAGGGAAAGATGATGAATTTGCCATGGAAATGAATGGTTCAGTAAAGGTGTGGCTGACATAATTGCATATTTCAGTCATATATAAGGTTTTTATTTTGGAAAATCATGTTTTAGCCAAATTACCTAATTACAAAAACTTTATTGTTCTGTATCAGAATTCACATTGATTAAGATATGCAGACTGGGGGGAGGAAGTGATTAAGTAAATGTACTTTAAAAGTGGAACTTTCATCTGTGTCATTTCAACTGTGAAAGCTGGTCTTGACAATACAGCTCCTTTTACATCACTCGTTAGGAAGCTGTATTTGCTTTCATTTGTTTCACAGCAGTGATATATGAAAGATATTTGTTTTCATTATCTCTCTCTCTCTCTCTCTCTAAATGAGTACCTGTGGAAAGACCAAGAAGATGTGATGTATATTCTTCTGTAGCTCTACTAAATGTATGGTTTAAAACAATTTTTTCATAGGTCATTAAGCAGTTAATCAAATAATTTGTAAGTTGAG